TCTAATTCAAACATATATGCATATAAGCATGTAGATGCTTTTACTTTTGTTTATATGCATTTATAGCAAAGCAAAAAAAGTACAGTGGTGCCTTGCAAGACGAGATTAATGCGTTCCGCAAAAATCGCTATCAAGCAATTTCGTCATTAAGTGAAACATGGTTTTCCATTGAAAAGCATTGAAACCCTGATAATCAGTTCCAATGGGAATGGATTGCCATCGTAAAGCGAAAATTGCCATAGGAAACATCGTTAATTGAAACGTGTTTCCCAAGCGAACACAGCTGTCTAACGAAACAGCGACCATTCAACTGCCCATTTAGCAAAGTGAACCCTAGCTGTCAAAACCATCGTAAAGCGAAATTCAGGGACCCAAAAATTAACCATCTTGTGAGGCAAGGTCCCCACCAGCATAGAGCAAAAATCGCCCATAGGAAACATCGTTAAACGGAGTGCAAGATCACTCCGGAAAACTAATCATTAAGCGAATTCGTCGTTAAACAAAGCAATCATCTAACGAGGCACCACTGTATGCTGCTTATATATCACCCCATAGTGCTTAAAGTACTCTCTGGACAGTTTACAATTAGGCAGGATACATATTGTAAAAGTCCTAAACTGTATTAGTAGTAAGGAGCCTCGTGGTGCAGTGGTTAAAACTGCTGCACTGCGGCCAAAACTGTGCTCCCAACCTGGGGTTCAGTCCCAGGTAGCTGGCTCAGGCTCAAGGTAGCCTACTTAATTAACTTGTAAACCGTCAAAGAGTGCTTGAAGCGCCATTGGGCAGTATATAAGCAGCACACTTTGCTTTTTACATATTGCCCCTGCCCCCAGCAGGCTGGGTGCTTAATTTACTGATTATAAATGAGAGACGAAGTCTCAGGATGTAGAATATAGAATCAAGCTCTTTATGCTGTGTATTTCTTTAAATGAGTTGTTAAAAAGCTCTTTGGCGAAGCCTTCTTCAGGAGCTAAGCATAACACAAAACCAACTTTGAGCCTGGAATTGAACTGAGATCATGAGCAGAGTCTTCACTACAGTATACTGCAGTTTAACCACTGCATCACAAGCCTCCTTTTTTTGCTTATATTTTGATTAACAGCATATGTAATTATGTATGTGTTTACATCTATTTACATGTATTTATATTTGTATTTATATCCAATCTTCACACTCAGACTACTGCAGCTTTTGTACTTCATACGTCTCAAAAATAATCTGATCACTATTACCAATAGTCAAGCCCAAAGAGAGTCTGGAATTAGTATACCGCTGGTGTGACTATTCTGTCTAAAGATGCTCTGTGCGTGCGTGCGTGCGTGCGTGCATGTGTGTGTGTGTGTGTGTAAATCTATTTTAATTGTTATATCTTTTTATTGTTTTTTATTGTAATTTAATTGTTGTAAGCTACCCGGAGACCTTTGGGTAGAGTGGGCGGCGTATAAGTCAAATAAATAAATAAATAAATAAATAAATAAATGCATTGATGTATGTATGTGATAAAATGGTTCTCTGTTATGAACTGAATGCACGTGAGAGTGCAAGATGCTCTTAGTCACTGTTGAGATCCACACAGGGTCAATGAAATATTTGGGCAGAAAACCATTTTCCACTGATAATTTAAAGTCCGTGACCACTTGGACAGGGCCAACAATGCAGGCCCTTAATATGAAACCACTGTCCCTTTACAAAATCAATGATGAATTATACTTGGTGAAGGAGGGAAAAAATTACCTCAAACCTAGAAATAAATTTTGAGGATGTACTGTATCTTTTAGAATATTTACCCAAAACAGGTCATTTATTTATTTAAAACACATTTTTGCCAAAGTTAACAGTACAGTGGTGCCTCGCTTGACGAGGATAATCCGTTCCAGCAAAATTGCTGTAGAACAAAATCCTCGTCAAGTGAAAATAAAAAACCCATTGAAATGCATTGAAAACCGGTTCAATGTGTTCCAATGGGCTAAATACCTAATTGTCCAGCGAAGATCCTCCATAGGGCAGCCATTTTCCAGTGCCTGTAAAGCAAAAAATGCCTCCTAAAAACAGCAGGGAGCCATTTTGAAATCTGAGGATCAGCTGTTTTCAGATCATTGTAATGCGAAGAATCGGTTCCCGAAGCAGGGAACCGATCGTGGTAAAGCGATCTTTGGCCATTGAAACATAGTTTTGCGATCGCAAAAACCTCACCATCAAGCGGATTCGTCATTTAATGAAGTTAAGCAAGGCACCACTGTACGTACAAAATTGCAGAGCCCATTTTTGAAGAAGGTCCCTGTGGTGTCTGCCCAGGTCATGAATATTCACATGTTATCTGCATAGACCAATGGGAGTGCTGGAGGGGCAGAGTCACAAGATATAAGAGACTCAGCAGGAGGAGCTAGATAGAAAGATAGGGAGTTTCAAGTGAGGGAAATTGAGAGTTTAAGGAGGGTGGTGATTGAGAGTGAATGAAGGAGGATGTTTGTTAAGAGTTAACAACATTTCTTGAAGTATCTACATCTGCAACAATAAACAATTTCTATTTGGTTCTTTTAAAATGACATATAGCCCGGACCTTGATTATTAATAGGTAATGTTGATGGTAATCAACTGGTGACAGCTGAATATGAAGGGGCCACGTGGGGATTGTGACAGTGCCATACCCCAGTAGTAGATCAGATGGACTGACAACCCAATCAGCAGAACTTTATTTCTTAGGGGGAATTTTTTTAAAGGAAAAGAGAATGTGTCAGCAGCCAGTCTATTCCCATAAAAGTGTTTCACCAACTGCTGTTAGAAGAATCTTTATTTGTATTACAGCATTGCATAATTTAAAATTATGGACACGTGTGAAATATAGATAAAATTAAAAACAAATAAAAATGTTAAGATTTTTTAAAAATCAGAAGCAGGCTACTTCAATAGTGTTATCTCAGCCACTTGCTAGATCTACATGTGGTGGGGCATACATTGCATGCACTTAAGTGCTGCACTGATTGAATTTCTTCACAGTCAATTAGTCCTGTATCCATGTAACCCCCTTTTTACCTGATTATTCTTTGCTCTTTCTACTCCACTTCAAAGACTAAAGCAACCACAAGCACTGGCAGTATGACAACTGCTCTCACCAGTGAAGAGAATTTTGCAATCCACCACTTCCCATGTATGACAGAGATAGTAAGTGGCAGATCTGCTCTGATAATAATTAATTACTGGTTTTGCCTCCCACTGCACTATTATAAAAGTACAACCATCTAGCCATAGGGCACCTTCATTCTGTTCTTGCTAGCGATTAAATTATGAACTGTGCAACACTGCTATTCAAAACAAACATCTAGTACCAAACATAGGCCTCTAAGCTTTTTTTCCTCTTCATGGTTGGTTCAGTGCTGAGGTGCCTGACAAAGACTGCTGGAAAACTCGGCTTGATCACTATTATGATACAGTACTTGGATTGGCCCTAATAGTTATCCCTTGATCACAGATTTCTGTTTTTCTCTCTCTCTTGTGAACTAACATATCACCATCCAATTGTTTGTATTATTATATTAAATATCTGTATTGTTACAAAACAGTTTGAATTACATGGATATTGTGGATACAAAGGTATTGGTGCATTTTTGGAGGGGTTACATTTCAATGTAATTTGCTCTGAATATAATATATTATAGGTACTGTATGTGGTATACAAATAAAGTGACCCCATTTGCAGAAGGGTCCAGTTTACTTGCTGTGTGGGTTAGTTAAACAAATTATTATTACGATATAATGGCTGACAGAAAACAACACAGAGTGCTGTCCTCTGAAGATGCTGGCCACAGAGACTGGCGAAACGTTAGGAAGAACAACCTTCAGAACACGGCCAAAGAGCCCGAAAAACCCACAACAACCAGAAAATATTATCTTTGCTTCAGCCACTGCCATTCTGGGACTATCATAACAAATGACCTGACTTGGAGTGCAAACACCGCTGCATTAATCAGGAAGGCACAACAACGGTTGTATTTTCTAAGGATTCTTAGAAAGCAACAATTGACTGAGAGTTTGTTAATCACCTTCTATCGGAGTTCGATTGAGAGCATATTATCCTACTGTCTCTGTGTATGGTTCACGAGCTGCACAGTGGCAGAGAAAAAGGCAATTCAAAGGGTGATTAAGACGGCCCAAAACATCATTGGCTGTTCACTCCCCTCTTTGGAAGAATTGTATAAGAACAGATGTAAGAGGAAGATATCTAACATACTGAAAGACTCCTCTCATCCGGGACATCAGCTCTTTAAATTATTACCATCAGGAAGGAGATTCAGGGTATTGAAAGCAAGGACAAGCAGATTCAAGAACAGTTTTTACCCAAGTGCAGTATTGAGTTTAAATGTGGGGCCATAGGTTTTTGGTGGATTTCAATTGCTGAGAGAAAACGGGGTATCTATATTTGGATGGTGAAAGTTGTGTATATTTTAACTTTTTTTGTAGTGTTGTCCAGTTTTACCTTGGGGAAGAGCACCTCATTTCGTTGCACCCACTTGTGAGCGCAATGACAAATAAATTTCTTATGTCTTATGTCTTACAGTATGTCTTAAAGTGTGGGGGAGGACTTTTGTGCACATACATACACAAGGACTGAGCCTTCATGTAAGGCAGTGGTCCCCAACACGTATACACACACACATACGTACGTACGTACACACACACACACACACACACACAGTAAATAGGTTAGATTAATTTTAAAACCTTCTCCAAATTGTACAATTGACAAACTTCTGTTTATGTGTACCAAGCGAATTAATTTAATTTAATAACACGTTTTGAGAATGCAAGCATCAGAAAATGTACTTAATGTACATTTGCAAGCATCAGAAAATGTACTTAATGTACATACTGGGGACAGAATTAGAGAAGACAAAAGCATTACATAAGTACTTAAAATAAATAGTATCAAGACAATTTAATGTGTGTGAAACTTAACACTGCAGTATTTTATCTCACATAGCTTCATAGTTCTAGCGCAGTTCTACCGACATGCACCTATTCTGCCCTACTGCTACTCAGCTATCAATTCCTACTTCCGACTCTGTTTGGCTTTTCCCTTGGCTGACAGGATCAAGACTTCCCGATAACTTCGCCCCAGGTTTGGTTCCCGTATCTCTGAGCGATGCCGTCTCCTGCCGGCTCCCTCGCTGGCTTTCGGCATCCCGCGATTGGACAATCTCTTTTCCTTCCTCCGCCCAGAAGCGACTTCTCTTCCTTCTCATTGGTCCGCTCCAGCCTTGGAACGTCACGCTCTACTTCCGCACGCGCCGATCACCCTCGTCCTCGCGGAAAGAAAGCACAAGCGTCTTCGCCCGGCTCCGGCTTGAATGCGCTTTTATTCCCCTCCGTTCGGGCCGAACGTTTCGCGTGCGCGGTACTTTGCGCCCTCCCCGCCTCCCCCCCGGTGACGTAGAAAGCTGTGATTGGCGCGTCTCTCCGCCTGAGTTTCCGGTGCCATCGAGTAGCGGAGGTGCGGGCGGTGGTTGCTTTCGAGGTTGTTGCTCCTCCTGCTGCTGCCTGAGCCGGTCAAGATGAAGCGCAGCCCCGAAGACCTGGGTGGGGAGCCCCGTGCCAACGGCTGCAGTTTGACAGGGCACCGCGAGGGCCTCAAGAACGGTTATGTGCGAGGCATCTCCGAGGCGGAGCCCCCCAGCCAGGTGAGCGCGGTGGCCGGGGCGCCTGTGTCAAGGGGAGCCCCTGCCGCTCCCCAGCGCTCTCCCCCGGCTGCCTTTTCCCACTCGGAACGGCCTGGGCCGCTGGCCCGGCCCGGCCTCATCCTCAGGGCGCGGCTCTCGAGCTGGGCCGTGCCTGGATGCCGTTCGCCATCACCCACGCGGCGGCGGCGGCGGGGAGAGAGGGAGCAGGATGGCCTTGAGCGGCGAAGGCTTCCTGGAGGGAGTGCCTCGCCTCGCCGGCTTATCTCTCTCTCTCTCGCTTCGGGGTTGGCCGAGCCGGGAGTCCGCGCGGGGCTTGGCGCCTTCTTCCTCCAACGCCGGGAAGAGCGCTTGACCTGCTCTTTTCCGGGTCTGGCAAGGAAGCACCCCTTCAAGCCCCCAAGGGAAGCTTTTCCTCCCTTTTATTTTTATTTTCTTTTGCCTCCTAGAAGCTCAAGTTGGGATATTCGGAGATGTTGCAAACGGATGTTGCAGTACTTTTTCGGGAGGGTGTAAGAGGCACACACTCCCGAAAAGGTACTATCGGGGTTTAGTTCTGCCGCTTTACAAACCTTGCTTTTCGCCTTCTTGGAGGAAAGGGAAAGACTTTCAACCTTAGTGAATTAGGCTGGGAGTGGAATTCAATTCCCCACTCTTGTCTCCTGGGAGAAGAACTAGCCTGTGGGGCCTTGGGCAAAGTGTTCAGTCCCAGGATGCCCTCAGAAGAAGGGGATGGTAAACCCTTTTTCAGTATTCCCTATCTGGAAAACTCCGGAAAGAGTTGCCATGTCCAAATCGACAGAAGAAGATGATGATGATCATGATGATTCAAAAACACCAGACACGGTCAATGTTATAAAAACATTGACTGGTATTATGTAACAGATGCAAGTTTTAACCAAAAACCTAAATATCTGTTAAATATCAGTGTAGTGTGTATGCTGCTCCTAATGTTGCTGTTTTTTCTAGTTCTGATGGTGTGATTTCTGAGATCTGCAACTGCTTATAGTACTGTGTGAAATTTCTTGATATTGTTCCCGCCCCAATGACTATGGGTACCACTGAAGTATTTCTTCCAGGGGCGAGATGTTTCGATTGCCAGGGCTCTGTACTTTGTTAGTTTTTCCAATTATTTATTTTTAACTCTGGCATCCCCTGGAATTGCAATGTCAATGATCCCGGACATTTCTTTGTTCTATTATACTACTATGTCTGGTGTGTTATGTTCAAAGTGTCTATGAGTTTGGATCTGGAAATCCCATAGGATCTTGACTTCCTCACTTTATGATACCTTCTCTACCATGAGTTTTTGGAGACTGGCAAGTTATTATTTTTTGTGTAATAATTAGTGCACTAACCTTTGCACTCTATCATGTCTAACTTTGATATTATTATTATTATTAT